AAGGGAAAATACACACACACACACACACACATGAATCCGTATTATTATTCTACGTTAGTTGTTTTTACATTAGGCAAAACTAGAAAGATAAGAACAAGATATAACTAACGTATTTCTTTGTCAAATCGATTGTAGCACATTCATTATCAAACATTCATCGTCAATAATATGGGGGAAAATATGAATTAATCATTTCTGAACAACACTGATGTATTATGTAATGAACTAATGAATAGTCTACTGGGGGGATGGGTATAAACGACTAAGGATGAATGATTTATGAATGAATGATTTCATGGATAAATGAAAATGATCTACGTTTTGAGTCTACCATATCTGGTATTTAACTTTGAAATGATAAAGGTAAATAGCTACCCATGTAACTTTATGAAAAGAATATTTATATATGCCAGCAATTACAGTTATATTATGAAAGTTATTAGGGATGATTGTTAATTGCGAACCCCAAATGCGCTAGTTCGGCTGAGAGTGGGGAGAGTCAGCTCTCTCTCTCTCTCTCTCTCAAGTGGCCACATGCATACAACCACTGCCTTCTTGAGGCAGGGGTGTTGATTATGAAATTGAGAGGACGAAAAACGAATGTCTGGAGGTTTAACCGGGTTGGTGGTTACCGAGGATCCACCTAGGGAAGTTGGGAAACCGTGATTCCAAACCAATGATGTACATGGACTCCTGGATCCTGAGTAAACAAATGGCGTATGAAACTATTATTGGTCACCGGTTACCATGGGACTGCGTTTCCTTACGTAACCCCACTGCCTTGTGAATTAGACCTTTAGGTCAAAGGCTTCGGGTGTGGCTCCCTGAGAAAACCACCTGTTTCGGTCTGCACACACATGTAGTAACACAGACCTCATACAAATGGAATGATTTATGTGGCGCATGTCTATTTGATGCCTTCTTGTATCGATGTTACTGTTCAAATAATTAAATAAATGAATAAATAAAACCAATCAACCAAATCACTCCAGTCACTTTTATACAAACTGAAGGATGAAATGATAAAAGAAGAATGGTCGATTATCATCAACAAAACAAAATATTTCAACTTTATCCAAATAACATTAAGCGAAGTGATCACTACTTTTATCTTAGTCTGAATAAATTCCAATTAGCTGTCAAACTCTACAATGCATCTTAGCTAATACTGATGGATGTAGACAATTATAACTATACAGTTGACTAGTAAAATGTTACAATGTTAAACAAAGGGAATGTAACGGAGACCAGAGAACTTTTATACACCTCACACTCAGGTCAATCAGTAATTAAGAAGTCAGTTCAACTGATAAATTGCCTAGAAAATCAATGGAAGCATCACGATTGAAGTGACCAAGTACATAGAACGCAACTATGCTGTGGGTTCGGGCTCATGTATAGTTATTGGTATATACGTTGCTTAAAAGTTCCATATCACGATGGATCAACTATTTATTGATTGACAACCAGATATAGAGCTTCAGTGCTTCACAATCTTGACGTTTCAAACTGATTTCAGGTATTAGTATGAGGGTTTTTTGAAGATATCTGAATGTTGCAGTTTACATCACGAAATGACCTTGGTTATATAACCATTGAAGACTGGGAGGAATTGGATAGGTGCTTCGTCCTAGCATGAAACTTTTCAACAGTTTACAACCACGACCGCTCTAAGATCAAAGCTAAGGAATTCAGATATCACGGAGAGTGCCTCATCTTTACATCACTGAATTGACATCCATAGGTATACGTCACAAAACTTGTGGGGTTTGTAGGCAAACTATGTTGACGATTATGATGCTATGAAAAAATAGCTGTTCAACGCTATGTGTTTCACAATGGTTGTTTATTATATATGTACTATCGCAAACTAAACGGCCGCAGTTTGAACTCAAATGATTATGGCTTTTCAATAGAAGTCGACAATTACCTCTTGAGATTAATCACTAATGAACACATGATATAGTGACATCAATAATGCTAAATAATCCACACAAACATCCATGCCGATAATAGTTGAACAGTCTAAAACTGATGTTATCTTTGGTATTTGACTCTCTCTCTCTCATAAACACTATTTTACTAGATCCTATATATTAATCGATGAAAAGAGTTGAAACGTCTAATGTTCTCTTTTTTTCCAGAACCGGTTTGATGATAACTAAGAAATAAGATGTCAAATGTAATTTCTTCACTTGTCGAGTAATCTGGAAACTCTCATTTGACTATCGTGATAGTATTAACTGTTACGAAAGATAATCTTTCATCAAGTTAATTTCATTCTGAGTATATTATTTAGTTACGTAATCAATTATTTCTTTACTGCCAATGTGATTGATCAGATCCTACGCAAATGTATATTTGAAATGTAATCTATACTATGTTAAATTAAAAACGATCTTAACTACACTCTTAGTAATATTATCTTTTGTCTGGCTTATTGACTGTTCCTTCATTGCTACACCACTCACTCTCTGTTCTCAATTTTTTCTCTTCGATCTTCGATCGTCTTAGCCTTCTGCCGCCAGGTATTTCAGTTTCGATTGATGATACATGCTACTTATACCTATCGATATCAGTAGCATAAAACACATTATGATAAACTTTTATCACAAGTTGATTGATTAAATTATGTCAGTGTACTATTTTCTTTTTATTTCTAATGATGTTACGTGTTAAAAATCTTAAGTGTTGTTAGCTAATGAGAGTTGATACAAGTGGACATTGGATTCATTGGATTATAATAATTTCTAAGTTGATCATTAATTATGATTATCTAACTGGTTTATGTGTTAAGGATTAAGTATAGAATTAATTGAAATCTATTAATTATTCAACTTGCATATAATAATCCTGTAGGAGGCTAGTTGGTGCCCGAATAGCTCAATGACAATGTATTAAACTGGATGATTCATATCTGAATCCACCAAGAAACATCAATTCTTTGAGGATTGCATGTATTCTTTTGTTGACGAGTGTTAACTAACATGAAAATCATGTTCATGTTTTTTTTATCGACTACTTTCAACCAACTAATAAACAAGAAAAAACATAGACTATCCAGTCAAACAGTCAGTCAGCTACAACTTAAGATCAGGCACATATGTGTACCGGTTCACGTTGCCATATATCATTAGCACAACAAGATGAATACCAAATTCATAAAGGTAGTCACCTCAATCATTGTAATGTATAAAAGAATGATTGCATATAAAGATATAGTACAAGAAGAAAGAATTAGTTGGTAGGAAGAAAGATATGAAGCGATTTTAATATCACCATATAAGGGAAGACAGACAAAGTTGTTAAAGAATCAATGCTTTACGCTACATCCATTGATTTCGATTCATACAGCTTAAAGTATGATGCAAATGAATCATTATTGTATCATGATGTCAATGTGGGTTTTTTAAAAAAAAGAATGTTCGAATATATATATATGAGTTAAAGTAGTTACATTTGCTAGTTTTATTCAAATTTCATTTAAAATTTTCTAATATCGATAAACGTTGTTATGCTTGAAGGGGCGTGTACTACTGAAATCGATAGATATATAAGTAGTATATATCAGCACTCAAAAACTGAAATACCTGGATGCAGAAAGTTAATAAGATCAAAGAAAACAGAATGAGAACAGAAAATGATTGTTGTGTATCATATAACACGAGTCAGGAATAGGATTTGTGGCAGCAAAAGATTGAGTAGATCGAAGAGGAAAGAACGGGAACAGAAAGCAATTAGTATGAAAATGAAGGAATAATGAATTCTGAGACAATTAATGAACATTTTGTAAATGAAATATTATAGTATGGTTTTGATATTTCACGAAGCCATATTATATATTCCTGTATGGCTTTAAATTTTAATAACCAAGTGAATATATATTCAACGAATCACGTTACACGGGATCACCAAACACATTTCATTGACAGTACGGGGTTGTGGAGACTGTTGAGTTTTTGATTGAAATCATGAATCAATCAATGTTAGAACACCATTGTAAACCTGAAATCACTAGACGACGGTTACGTCCTAGTATGGCACATGGTCGGATGATGGCTCAGTGGTCTAGAGGTTGAGCATTTGCACACGAGATCGATGGTCCTATGATCGTGAGCGCGCACTGCTGAAAAGTCTCATCCAAGAATGAATTGGCCTTCCAGTTGTTTCAGGTTTTCAACGGTTATCTAATATCAACCGATTCGTGATCTTACTCAATCAAGAACACTTTATTGACTTTGAATGATTAGACTCAAATGGCAAAATGCTTAAACATAGTATCAATGACTACTCAGAAACAGAAGACTACAAACATATCTGTGTTAAAACAGATCATTAATAACCCCCAAATAGTTCAGTAGTAGCATCTCCAACAATTAAACTAGTTGAATTATATTCAGATTATACTTGAACTATAAGTTTTTTCTAGATTACAGATACATTTATCTGACAAGTATATAAGTCAAACAGAATGCTCATATTGATTGGTTCAATTCATCAAACACAAGAACCTAATTATATTAGGAAAATATTCTAATTCACCATGTGCTCACTAGTGACTAGCTTCGTGAGAAAATTCTCAGAGTTCTGGTGAAAAGTCGTGACCACTGGAGCTAATCCGTGTCGGATAGAAACAGGTATCTACCTCATTAAAATGGAAGATGGTCGCGCAATTTCGTGGATTGATTGAAGTTAGACATTAACACCATTGGATGCCGGCTCAGTGGTCTAGTTTATTAAGCGCCTGACGCGTGACTGATAGGTCCTGGGTTCGACTACCACGAGCAGGATCTTGTATGCGCACTACTGAGGAGTCCCATGCTAGGACGAAACGGCCGTCTAGTGCTTCCAGGTTTTCCATTGTGGTCTAGCTTCAATTTGCTCATGATTTCAATTGAAAATTTATACAAATATTGATAGTAATTGTAGTATCATTATCACTACTGTTATTAGTAATATCATCATCCAAATCATCATCATCATCAGGAAAAATTACTTACCAAATAATATATTCACAATTGATGGTGGTAAATTTAATGTTACATGTAATAAAGCAGCTATTGCTTGTGATCCAATAAAAAATAAATTATAGATACATTTTTACCATTTCCTTTTGTTTGTAATATACCACCAAGTAGAATACAATTAGTTAACCATGTTAATATAATTAATGTAATACATAAACATAATACAGTTAAATCAGTTGATTGTAATTGATAATTATTAGCATTAATAGTTGTATGAATAAGATGAGTGAATTCATGACTTTTATTCATTATTAATTAATCGTCTATTTAAATAACTAAGAATAGATAGACTTTAATATATCAACAATGGAACACTATTCAGTGAAGTCATTCAGGCTCTTCTTTACCAATGTTCTAATATGTACTACTACTACTATATATGATCATAGGAGATTAAATGTTATGTGTAGATACTTTAATTCAAATGAATAATAACTATCAATGTAAAGATGATAAAAGTATGCAACATAGCAACTTATTGATTATCGAATAATTATTTTGATTATGATTAATCCTCTTTCTTTCAATTATTCAATATTAATTTCTAATCAATATATCATTATTACGTAACGTATCCATTTGATAAGTATTATTTCATCATTGTAAATCATATATAGAGCAATAATGAAAAAAGTACTAATTGAAAAGAAATCTATTCACTCAATTCATTCCTTCTTTATTGACCAAATATCAAAAATAGGACTTTTCGTTATAGAGATAGTTAGTGTGTTGTTGTCGTTCTCATGATTGAGATCATAAGTGAATCAATCAATGTTAAATTATCAATAAAAATTTGGTAACATTGAACAACAGATTAATAACTAATTGAAATCTATTACATCCATTTGATATTTAACAAAATTAATAGAATTTCTAAAACTCTATTCCAATTGGTCATTTCGATACAACTGAACACTTTTTATTTTATTCTGATTGGTTGATTCAATACAACAAAGTTCTTACTTTATTCTGATTGGTTGATTCAATACAACAAAGTTCTTCTTACTTTATTCTGATTGGTTGATTCGATTCAACAAATTCTTAAACCATTACACAAAGAAATTGTCAAGCATAGTGTCAAGGATTTCTTTGAATTTGTTGAGAACATAAAAAATCTATCAGTCAAGAATAATTTCATGTTATCACTTGATGTATCATCTTTATTCACTAACATTCCACTACAAGAAACAGTTGATTTTATTTGCAATGAACTAACAGAGAGACGCATAGAAACCCCGATTCCAGCATCCGCGATAAAACAGTTAATTCTTAGATGCACAATGAATGCACAATTCAGATTTGACAACGAATACTATAGACAGCTAGATGGAGTTGCCATGGGATCACCATTGGGCCCTCTACTGGCTGATATTTTCCTTGCAAAACTGGAAAACGGACCACTTAAAAGCATAATTAGCCATTTACCAACTTATTATCGCTATATAGACGACACCTTCATAGTACTAGAAAAAGAAAATGATAAGGACAATTTACTTAATACATTTAATAACGTTCATCCATCAATTAATTTTACATCAGAAGATGAACAGAACGACAGCATATCATTTCTAGATGTCCAACTAAAAAGAAGAGCAGACGGAACTTTAAAAAGAGGGGTACACAGAAAATCTGCAGCAGGACAATACACTCATTTCTATAGTGCAGTTCCAATCAGATACAAAAGGAACTTGATAAAAATCTTGACACATCGGGCTAGAATGATTTGCTCTGAAGACACCATCGAAGAAGAATTGAATAATATTCGGAACCTACTTAGCATGAATGGGTATCCCATGAAATTCATCGACAAACATATGATGGAGAAGAAAACAAGGACAAAGATACCCACCGTCCATAAGAAGGTACTATTCATAAAACTACAATTCATAAATGACACCATTGAAGAAACCTTGACTCAGAAACTAAGAAGAGCCGTACAAAAAACATTTAATGCTGCCAGATTAAATGCAATCTTCTACAACTATCCTAAGATAAGAACAGCCAACAAAGACAGACTGCCTGAATTCGCCAAATCTATGTGTATCTATCGTTTCAACTGCTCCTGTGGAGCCAGTTATATTGGGCGTACAATTCGGCAAGTCCGTCATCGCATTACTGAACATCATCCGTCGTGGTTAAACAAAGGACAGGTAAAAGTGATTAAAAGTTCTATTCTCTCTCACTTGGTTGACACAGGTCATCAAGTCGAATTGAATAAAGCTTTTAAGAAATTTCATGCAATTGGTTCCCTTTATGAATTTAAATAGAGCAAGAACAAACATACTATTCTGCATCAATGTTTGTTCTTGCTCTATTTAAAGCTTTTAAGGTTATCTACAATATCCCATCTAATTTGCCACATGGTTTACGAGTGCGCCTCTTGCACATTGCGGAAGCCATCGCAATCCATGTTCACAAACCTGACCTTTGCATTCAAAAGAGATTCGTACAACTACTTTCCCTGCCCTGGCCATTAGTTTAAGATTTCCTTCAAAAAACTATTTTTCATACTTCTTCCATTTTTATTTTAACTTTAAAATGTTTGTAATTTTGTTTCTATCGATTTTGAGCCTTATAACTTCTCAACATTCATCTCTTGATTCTTACGTGACTACTATCCTATTGACCATCCGGTAAAATTCTATTCCTTCTTTCTTTCTTATATTACGCAACGTAGCAACTTCCTGATCACTTTGAATATTAATAATCCTCTTTCTTCTAATTAATCAATGTTAATTTAAATGTCATTATCATTATCATTACGTAACGTATCCACTCGATGAGTATTATATTATTTCGATAGAACAATGAGAAGACAGAGTTGATCTGAAAAATATGATGTATTTGCGCTATACATTTCAAACAATCTGGTCACACATATACTTGTCAAGGCATTTTTATATGAAAATTAATAAAGGTCAAACAAATAAAAGTACAATTAAAATAACTAAGGGGGGAGAAAGAATAAGAAATTGTCGCGTTATCCTAGGCCATAGAATGACTTAAGGATTACCAAGGTAAATTCAAGGTTACGACAAATTGCTTTTGTACACATAAGGGGGGGGGTGAATTTACGAATAGCCAAGGCTTCAATAAACTTAAGAATTCGTCCTTGACAATTTCTATACAACATTCTAAAAGCTGTATGAATGTCAATTTTGTACCCCATTTCAATTAAATGTTTTGTTATCGATGAACTTGGTTTTCTACCTCCTACATTGATCGGATCATTTGACACACACTGATTTTGAAGCCATCTGGGCACATGGAAAGAATTACTTTTATTATGTACAGCTAATGTTCAATTTACGTTTGATGGTGAATATTTTCGACAAGTTGATGGTGTAGCTATGGGTAGCCCTTTAGGACCTCTCTTAGCTGAGGTATTCATGTCATATGTAGAAAATATGACGAGCGACTTCATTGGTGAGACAACTCTATATAGAAGATATATGTATGATATTCTAATTATATGTGATAAGGATTTTGATGTTTACCGATTACTGGATAAACTCAATGGTGTTCAAAACGATATTGTGATGACACATGAATCAGAAAGTAATGGCCAACTAGCCTTTCTAGACATACTCTTAAGTCGAAGGGATGATGGCACTATTAGACGGCCCGTGTACAGGAAACCAACTTGGACGGGACAATACTTAAATTTCCGTAGTTTTGTCCATTGCAATACAAGAGAGGTCTAGTTAAGTGCCTCTTTAAGAGGACTCGAAGAATATGTACCTCTGATATGGTGGAAAAATATGAAAAGTTACTGACTGACACTTTAATAGCAAATGGTTATCCACTCAAGTTTATGAATAGGTGCAAAAGTCAGTTAATGTCAAGACCTCTTATTTATTCAGTTGCAAAGAAAGGACGTTTATATTCATCCACCATATAGAGGTGAATCCAACAGTATAGTTTTAAGTCAAAGATTGGAAGCAGCCATCGAGAAAACCTATTATGCTGCTCAATTGGTTATGATTGAAAAGTCTAAGCCCATGACTCCGAATAGACCCAGGCAATGCACTAATGGATTACGTCACATCCTATTGTATTTACCAATTTACATGTTTGTGTGGACACACATACACTAAGGAGGAGTAATCGAACAAAGCAATCAAGGGATCATTGAACATGTACCTAAATGGCTTCAAAACCAATGAGTGTCAAATGGTCCGATCAATGTGGGAGGTAGAAAACCAAGTTCATCGATAGCAAAACACATAATTGAGACGGGGTACAAAATTAACATTCATACAGCTTTTAGAACGTTGTATAGAAAGTGTCAAGGACGAATTCTTAAGTTTATTGAAGCCTTAGCTATTCGTAAATTTAAACCCCCCTTATGTGTACAAAAACGATTTGTCGTAATCTTGAATGTACCTTGGTAATCCTTAAGTCATTCTATGGCCTAGGATAACACGACAATTTCTTATTCTTTCCCCCCCCTTTGTTACTTTGTTACTTGAACTTTCATTTAATTGACCTTTATTAATTATCATATAAAAATGCTTTGACAAGTATATATGTTTGACCATATTGTTCGAAATGTATCGCAAAAATACATTACATTTTTCAGATCAACTCTGTCTTTTCATCGTTCTATCGAAGTTTATAAAAGGGACTAATTACTTTATATTATATTATTATTGTAAAACGTGTATATATATATATATATATATATATATATATATATATATATATATATATATATTAGTGTAGAGCCATCACTAGTGGCAAAGCGAAGAGTAGCTCTACAGGCTGACTGGACGTAACCAATTTTACCACCTTTATATCAATTGACATGAAGAAATCCATATGAAATCCATGGCAAAATAAGCATTCGCCAAACATTTGCTCACCTCTGTAACCCACTATGCAACTCCTCAATGATTGGTTACCTGCATGACCTTGAGCACGCATTGTATGAATGCAACTAAGTAATGCAGTATAATTCTTGATGTTCTAAGTAATCGTTCTATGAACGTTTGCCTCTTTCACGGGACTAGAAATTAATACAATTTAGACGATTTATTAGCAGTTTCTTGTGAGTTGCATTGTGGTGTGTGCTACTTATATTGACATAATTAGTATATGATGTTAGTCATGAACAGAAGGTCTGGCAGCAGAGAGGCAAGAGGATCGAACAGTAAAGAACGGAAACAGGATGCAATTTGTATGAAAATGCAAGAACAATGAAGTCTGAGCCATTTTGAGACAATCGATGGACATTTTGCAAATTACGT